GTACCTGGCAGGACCTGGCAATGCAGTATGTCAACGAAGGCTACCACACGAGAGGACAACTGTAGATTGATCTCTATGGTATTATGCGTTCTGGTGATGGGAACGGAATTGATGACTGAGTGAGGGTTCCAAGGGATGTTCGGATCGGAACGTCTAAAACCGCATTCGAAGCATCTAGAAGTATTCAACTGGAGACCGAATTGGTTCGACAATGATTGCACTTGTAATAAACTGTCAAAAAATGATTCAATGTCAGATTGGTTTGAAACAGCTTGACATCGGACTACCCAATCAGCATATTTGAAGGCCTTAGCTGGTGCGATTGAGGGTAAGTCACTGATAAAAGTTGAAAAGGAGTATGAAGGAAGCACAGCACCCAGAACGACTGACTCCAGAATTCTTCACTAACGGCTTTGAAGTAGTACCGTCTGCTTTCGTTCTGTGAATCCGTCCGGGGAAATAGTCTTTCAGCTAGAAGAAAAGATTGTGGAACGGAATCAAAAACGGAGAAATAATGAAAGAAAATACAACGAACGGACTTTTGAGAATCATCGAACGATATGGAAATAAAATGCATCCGTGAAAAGATAGCTTCCGAAGTGCATTCATTTGGCTTATGCGCAAACTGAAGGGGTTCACTGGGAACGTGAATATCAGACTGAAAGCGGATGATAACAACGCGCTCTACTAGTATGAGTCCAGAGGAATGGATGGTGGCAAGACGAAAGTGTTTGGATAAAATGCTAAATGAAGACGATTTAGGAACCGGAACAATGATAATCGGTTTCCAGAAGTCCGGAATTGAACATGAGTAAATGGATTTGTTGAATTTCTGCTCTATTCTATTAGTCATTATCCTAGACCTTTCATTGGCCCATATGAGACCGTATCAATTGGTTAAATTGCTAATTTCTCATCCGTTAGGACAGGGCAACTGCATTTTTAGAGCAGCAAACTTGGATTAGCCCATTTGAATGTTAAGGGGCACCAGGCACTCTTGATGGTCTTGGGTGTGTGGGTTTCAATCCTTGGGAGATCGTTTATTCTCCACAGGTTCATGCATTTACATGCGATGGAAATGTTTGATTGAGCCATTCGCACAAATTGACACAACCATCGACCGTGTAGCTCAGGGGTATGAGTTTGAAGTCCCAACCCGAATGTTCGCGGTTCGAGTCCTAACAGGGACACAAAAAGTACACGCGGCTGACCAGTCCCAAATAGAACGAAATAGCTGTCCAGTGCTCTTTGTCGGTTATCACAAACATTGCCAGGGCAACTGCATGTTTTGATTTTTTTGGGGCAGGAGGGGGGGGGATTAGAGGAGGTGACTTTTTTGCACACGGATCAAGTGACACAAACCATCAGGTCTTCGGATATTGCGACAGATTGTCCGCAGACAGTTATTCAACAAAAGTAGTGTCACACAAATCACAGTTAGCCACCGAAATGTCCCTTTACTGATTCGCGCGTGTGGAACGAAAGACCCGGTAGGGCCAAGCTCCACTGACCGTGGTCTTTAACGATACGAACACCGTTCAGGACAGTGACCTGGTACCGTAAATCGAAAATGACATATGTAAAATTTGTGGTGGGCAATTATATGATGAGAAGCATATCTTATGCGTCTAGCGGATGCGCAAATAAGTTCATAACTCACGTGAATGGAATAGCGCAGGTTATTTTCTAACNTTTCTAACATGGAGCCTTAGCGACTAATGCCTTATAGTGACAGGGATAAAGTTTGTTCGTGCTTGGGACAATGTATGCTGGATAGATCAGTATCATAAGGTAAGTCATCGTTACAAAGAGACATCCATCATCCAGGATAGCGATTAGAATCTGTCATCAAACATGAGTTTACTGTCAGTTAGCGAGTCGTCATTGTGTTCTATCTGTTTTGACGTATCACTCACATTTGTGAGTAGTTTGCGCATACCAAGAGGAAGCTGTTAGATTCCCAGGAATTCTGTAAAATGGTTAAAGGATTTTTTTTGTAGTAATAACAGAAGAGAAAAAATAGACTGTCGGGTTGAAAATTATCAATGAATAGATGATCACAAAAATATTAATCAACTGTTACAAATTAGGTGTTTTATTCTATGTGTAATCCTATTTTACCGATGCTGTTCTCTAAATACTGTACTGCCTTTTTATTGTCAATGTTCATGATACTGTCAATCGATTCCTGGTTCAAAACTGAGCAGCTGCAATTGCCTTAGGACTAATAGTAATTAAACCATTCCGAGTAGTACCCGTGTTTTAGAAAATGACCTGTTGGGGTGTGCGAAAGCTGCATTCGTTCTAATACACTGCAAGATTCATTGGCATACTATAGCATTTGTTCAATCTATTTCAGCAATCCAAGAAAATCATTCGCCCGATGGATTAGTAGACACCGGTTCGAGAATCTTGTCTGACAATTATCAACACTGTGTCAGCACTCATACCGTGTAGGACAATAGCCGAGTGCAGTTAGTTAGATAAGTTATAAGTTATGAAAGTAAATTTATCCCTAGAAAACATTTGAGTTTTGTTTTGGGAAACAATTGAGTTCCTCTGTTCTTAATCGATTTGCCTGGTTCTTGTTCCAGATGGACGATTCCGAAAAGACATCCATGATGATGTCCCCGTCGAAACGGTTCGATCAGCTTCGAATGCAAATGCAACAATATCATGATCAGGCTGGTGCGTTGTACGACGAAGATGACACCTTTTCCGGTATGCTTATGCAATGGGGTCAATTTTTGGATCACGATCTGGATTTCACTCCGGTCGATGCATCTATCAGCCGATTCAGTGATGGACTCAATTGTAACGAGACGTGTTTGAACGATCCACCATGTTTCCCAATTCTGGTACCACCCGGCGATCCGCGTATCAAGCATCGTTGTATTGGATTTGCTCGGTCCAGTGCCACATGTGGTTCCGGATCGACGTCAATTTTGCTCGGTAAACCGCACTATCGGGAACAGTTGAATCAGATCACATCGTTCATCGACGCGTCGAATGTGTACGGCAGTGAGGAGTTTGATAATAGTCAGTTACGAGAAACATTACATGACGAGGGGAAAATGCGAATGGGTATGCCAACAGAGAGTGGGAAGCGATTGTTACCATTCAATATTCGTGGACAGGTTAGTGCCGGTTAGACATAAATGTATCCATGTATGTATGTATGTATGTATGTATGTATGTATGTATGTATGTATGTATGCATGTATATATGTATGTATGTATGCATGTATGGATGGATGGATGGATGGATGGATGTATGGATGGATGTATGGATGGATGGATGGATGGATGGATGGATGCACGTCTAAGCATCATTTGTTCGGATATTTCTGTGGCATCATGTGAGTACTTTGTTTTCATTGTTGTCAAAATTGGAGAAATATCCCACAATCATAGATGCATACCATAATTATTTAACCGTGTATTATTGAAATAACCAAATACATTTCTCACTTCACTTATTTCTATGTACTCGAATGTTATTGGTTATTTGATGGTACTTATTCGATTGTGGATAAAAAGAGTTGAACTAGACCTGTTGGTAAATCACCCGGTCAAATTTTTACTCCTGGGCATGGCTCATCAATTTTCGCAATAAGGGATATATTTAGTAACTGGTAATCAAATCAACCATTTATTACTGAGATAACTGCACATATATGCATGCACCTGGTACATACACATAGACACACAAAAACACACACACACACACAAAGAAAGCCTTTCTGGTCAGTCCACTCCCTCACCCGTCTCGCGAAGTTTTGCTCATATCACTAAATTCAATGCTCTGTTTACCAGCGAACAAGAAATCAAACACGTATAGCGATTACAATATCAGACCATATAGAATATTTCAAGTGTCCATACACCTTACGAATGTGCTATCAGAAGTTGTTAGAACTTGGACTGCGTAGCATGTCATTTACTAAACTGGAACACACACCCACAGCTGTTCAGTTGCACTTTCAACCGAAAAAAATGGGTGCCTCAAATGACAATCGATGATCACTACTCATAAGCCCATGCAAACACTCCATTCTGGATCGTTTGTGTGCGTGTTTGTTGTGGATAGAGCTGATCGCTTTGTATGGATTTTTGCTGCTCGTGAAAATTAAAGTCCCAGTTGTCATTCATTGCAAGCGAGATTTAACGAACGATAACAAAATACCTATTTGGTCCGGCTGAACTCCTCGGGTGTAAGTTGTAGGTAAACACTATGAAACAATTCAACCATTTCATTCCTCACACAGTGGCAAGTAGATCACCTCAACTGTGCTCAGAACGTTTTCTTCTCATCCGACCACAAGCACACAAAAACGATTCAGGCGATTGTTTCATCGTTTCATATTGTCTTGTCTCTCTCACCTGGGACCTCGAACAAGTAAATTCTCTCTGACCCTCTCGGTGACCTGATTGGATCATTTTTCACAATTTGCGACACTTGGAATGATTCACCACAACATGAGAATGTTTGATTATCGGATTGATCTTTCTGAAGTGCTCTTGTTGTCACGTCCATTCCATCCTTGTTCTGATGGCACTCCCGTTGTCGAAGACTCGCGGCTGTAAACAAGATGTGGTTTCTCATTCGAGTTAGCTGGGGAAGCACGAGGTCCGTTGTTGCGATTGCACTATCCGATCGATTGATAACTGAACCGGATCGGTTGCGTGATTTTCGTGCCAGGCACAGGAGGAGGAGGATAGGTTCTGAATCCGATGACGCTTAAGTATTTTTTTTTTGGGGGGGGGAGGGCCAGAAGAGAATCCGTTTGTGGGAACTTCGGAATGCAAAATGCTCAAGATACTCACAGTATTTTCCATTTTTGTAAGCGGGTTTGGTAAACGAATAAGTGTAAGAAAACTTTGAACTTATCCTAATTGCGGACCACTATGTGCATTAATATAGGCCAACGCAAAACTCTGCTTTCGTACTGCACGACCATGTTCCTTTTTTTAGCTCGTCAATCGTTCTCGGTTTTCGGGAAAAAACAATTCACTTTGGTTATCCGAACCGAAACAAATCCAAGGGAGACAGATCCGGGGATCTTGGAAGTCATTCCTTTGTTGCTCCTCGGCCAATCCATCTGCAGTTAAATTCCGAATTGTGTGACGGTGCACCGTCATGCTGGAACCAAACTGTGATACCAATTTCGGTTTCGACACGCCAGATGGTATCACAGGTATCACATTGTCTTGTACCAATTACAGGTATGAGGTGCCTTACACGATGTACTAAACAAAATGCCACATTCATTCGTCTTTGTTCGTGGATGTCCCGTGCGTTTCCGATCGTGTACACCTCCAGGGGATTTAAATTTGTTTATCAACGCTTTGATACCGTTTCTGGTGAGCCTCGTTGTACCAGTGTTATTGAATTCCTTCATCGTCGTCCAAACAACGACAAACAATCGTCGGTCGACAGACGATGAGTACGTGGTTTGATATAAAGTTTTGATTTGCATTGTCGGAATTGACTCCTAAAAGCAAATAGCCCAGCAATGCAACATGCAAAGCAGTATTTGGAGCTCAAGGTAAAACAAAACAACTTTCGTCCCTTTCAAAGAGGTTCATCTACAAGAAATTTGTGTCAATGATCCTGCGAGTCGAGTAGAATTTTATACATGGTACCTCTGACACACTTAGATGTGTGGCAAACGATTTTCACGAATGAAGCCATTTTTCACGTGAAGAGAAATATGCAAAACTCCAGTTTTTGGGAGATTGAAAATCCAAAACACTTTTGTTGGTTCAAAATCGCTCCCAAGTCCCAAACTGTTGGTATGGGTATGGTATTGTGCACGACAAGATTGTTGGACCGTGCTTTTTTAACTGAATCGTAACAGGTAAGTCGAATTTTGCTTATTACATTGCTTAAGGCACCTGCAAACGTTACAAAGATAATATGGTACCTGTCATCCAGCGTAAAGAAACCGAAATTGGCATCCCAGAAAGAGGGGAAGTGAGAACGCGTGGAAAAGGGCACCAAATTGCCGCATGAAAATTTACGAGACTGTGTTACAGAGTTCATTTGACATTCGTTCCACAGAAACCAATAAGCGCGAACGATGAGGTATAACGGGAGTTTGAAAAACTTTGCTACAAGTGTAGAAAGATTTAAATTGATTATCGGGTGACAGAAGTGGAAAGTGGAACGAGAGGCGATTGAATGCAAAGGATTTGACGCAGCAGACGAAATGAAGTCAAGCAAACGATCACGCACACCGTAAAGTGTTGGTTGACAACGGAATCAACCAGCGCCTCATAAGGGGCAGCTTTGTATCTAGAAAAAGATTGTCCGAGAGCCTCTGATCAATATTAAATCCTTAGAAAAGTGACCCGGGGGGGGGAGCAGTAGATTTAATGATATAATATGCACTAGAGAATATAAATTTAGAAATGGCATACGCCGGCAACCCCAGATGTCGAAGGTGTGAGATGCAAAACATTATTTTTCTCATGTTCAGAAATGCTTTTCAAATGTGATCTGTGACTGACTGTCTGAGGCCAGTAGACAGGCCACGGTGAAAGTGAAATTTTTTTTGAGGTATTAAGAACGTTTTGATATTTGACAATACTATTGGAAAATTCTGTTCACTTGAGGCATCGTGCACAGACGGTACCGGGGGATTGTACAGTATGAGATAAGTAATCAGAATCAGACAGATAATTCACGACTCACCGAAAAGTTCCTTTTGGATTATGCCGATTCGCCACCCAATCCCTGATGCACACCACGAACATACTACTCACTAATAATGTGAGTAGTTCCCCATTCCACTCGTTGGGGCAGTTCGATCGTCAGTGTGACCTATAAATTTTCACTGCTACTAATAGCCAAACAGGTTGAATTATTCTGGGTCCAGTAATTCCGGGTCTTTTAGTTCCCCTAGTTATAGTTTCATGGTTCTGACCGGGGTAATTTAGAAATAACATACTGAAGCAAAATCTACATGTGTGATGAGTACTGAAGTGTATTTTCTCCTCAAGAATAATATAGAACATAAAATCATATTTCCGTTTCAAAAACCAATAATAATACGCATTTTCATGCATTAATCTTAGCTGCTGCCTTCTGTCAGAATGAAGATTGGAATGTTGAGAGCAAATTCAAGTGAAAGCTAAAGAATTCATCCATCCACTGTCTGCCTCGGTTAACATCGCTTGTCGTGGTAAACTATGGATGCTAAACATTCGTTCTAGTAAAAGACCGCAATCACCTACACTTCTACGCCTAACCTCCGCATTGCTCGTCCGGTTTCCCCACCAGTCTCGTGCAAAGCGGTGTAGACAGCGGTGCTCGAACACCAACACAGTCTATTTTATCCTGTTCGCGTAATGGCCAGGTCTCGGCACCGTAGTGCAGGACTGGCCGAACTGCTACAACATATACTCAACTCTTCACACAGATCCCGATGTCATAATGACACCACAGATATCGCAAAGTTGGCAAATGCCAATCGAGTCTTTTTTATGCGTGCCGATAATAATGGACAAACTGTGTCTGAGATGAAGAAGATCGATTTTCACATCCATCTAGCTGATCGGTTTACACAAGTTCGTACCTTAGAATGCACCCCATAGATTCACCGGAGGCTTTTTTATGCACAACTGTGTGTGTGTATGTAAATCGCACTGCCCGGTTAGTTTATACATATTTCGCTGTACAAAAACACCCAAAACACGATCGGAGGTTTGTAATGATGATTTTGGACGTACAATCTGATCGTATTCCATGGATTGTAGTGCGAAATGTGTTTGTTCCATCACCGATCCCATTCCGCGCACTTTAACGCTCAATCTAAGGACCGTTTGATTGATCACCGGAAGCCATGTTTACATCCGGTCAATTTGTTTATCCGAATTGGTTATGGTCGAGGGCGGTGTATTTGAACACGTACGGATTTCGTCAAAACATGCGGAGACACTTGTGTATACAGTCATCTATAGTGTTCGATACTTACACGAGTCGCTGGTAGGTAACTGTGAAAAGGGTTTATAAGACGGACGACCCCTATTTATACGTCTGTTTTAGCAAGATTTCCTTCCATTCGTTTGGCGGTGCATGGTACCATCCACTGAGTAAGGACCGATTTGGACCAAATCATCACCTTGCGGGACACCGCTTGGCGATCGAATTTTCCAAGTATGGTATGTGTTTTGCGTCGTCCAAATGCAAAGTGCTTGTTCAGGACTGGTAGGATCCTGTACCTGCACTTGCTCTTTCTCGTGATCAGATAGAAAAAATGATCGAGAGCTTTGGGTACCTCAGGAGCTTAACCCCTCAGTTAGTGTTTGTGTTGGGGAGAAGATCACTTCATGAATAGCGAAAGCTAAAGCAGATTTCGACAAACTGCGACGATACCTGTGACGCTGCCATGACACCCGGCTGACCAATTAAACGTAGGGTGTATATCACCGCAGTTCGTGGCCTTTTGCTTTGACGCTTGAGAGACCTGAACCCTCCGCGTTGAGGGTTGCTAATCGACTTTCTGTAGTCGACTATGAAGCATTGCTCTTGTCTGGTGGAAACACCGGGTGAGTATTGACGAGGTCCGTCGTCGTTTGCTGAGTGCGGATATTCGTTGCCCAACAGAAGAAATCGCTCTACATTGCCTCCGTTAGCTTGGTTACATAATGCGTATGCCTGTTCATCAACTACCTTCTCGTGCTCTGTTTGCACGTGCCGAGCAAGGATGGAAGAAGCACCGCGGCGGTCAGTCAATGACATGGTGTAGAGGTACGAAGAAGCTGGCTTC